AACTGCTATAATAGAAGTATTCCTAAGACTAAATAGCTGCCACCAGGGGAAATAAAACTACAGTAAAGAAAGTAGAACTATTAATTACTAAGCAGATGCAAAATCAAAACAATTACCTCCAAAGTCAATCAAGGAATAGATGAAGTACAGAATATGATACCTAAGATATAAAGAATGGAGGAGGAAGAAAAGAAAGGAAAAAAAAACTTTAGATTGTGTTTGTAATAGCATACTAAGAGAGTTATGTTAGACTCTTGGATAGTAAGGAAGTTACCCTTGAACTTTTGGTAACCACAAATCTAAAGCCTGTAATGGCAATAAGTACATACCTATTGATAGCCACCCTAAATGTAAATGGACTGAAGGCACCAATCAAAAGACATAGAGTCACTGAATGGGTAAAAAAACAAGACCCAACTACATGCTGCCTACAAGAGACTCACTTTAAACCCGAAGACATACACAGACTAAAAGTGAAGGGATGGAAAAAGACATTCCACATAACTAATAGGGAGAAAAAGCAGGAGTTGCAGTACCTGTATCAGACAAAATAGACTTCAAAACAAAGAAATAACAGGAGACAAAGAAGGACATTACATAATGATAAAAGGGGTCAGTCCAACAAGAGGATATAACTATTATAAATATCTATGCACCCAACACAGGAGCACCTACATATGCAGAATTAAAGGGAAAATAGAATGCAATGTGTTCATTTTAGGAGACTTGAAAACACCACTCACTCCAAAGGACAGATCAACCAGAAAGAAAATAAGTAAGAAGCCAGAGGCACTGAACAACGTATTAGAACAGACAGACCTAAATAGAACAGATAGAGGCTAAATAACATGTTCCTAAATAATCAATGGCTCAGTGACCAAATAAAAACAGAGATCAAGCAATATGTGGAGACAAATGAATAATTCAACATTGCAAAATCTGTGGGATGCAGCAAAGGCCGTGCTAAGAGGGAAGTATATTGCAATACTGACCTACCTCAGGAAAGAAGAACAATCCCAAATGAACAGTCTAAACTCACAATTAACAAAACTAGAAAAAGAAGAACAATTGAGGCCTAAAGTCAGTAGAAGGAGTGACATAATAAAATTAGAGCAGAATTAAATAAAATCAAGAAGAATAAAACATAGAAAGAATCAATGAATGCAGGAGCTGGTGCTTTGAGAAGATAAAAAATAAACCCCTAGTGTGGTTTATCAAGAACAAAGGAGAGTCTACACACATAAACAGAATCAGAAATAAGAAAGGAAAAATCACTATGGACATCACAGAAATACAAAGAACTATGAAAGAATACTATGAAAAATTATATGCTAACAAACTGGATAACCTGGAAGATATGGACAACTTTCTAGAAAAATAAAACACTCCAAGGCTGACCCAGGAAGAAACAGAAAATCTGAATAGAGCAGTTACAGCAAGGAAATTGAATTGGTAGTCAGAAAACTACCTAAGAACATACTCCTGGACCAGATGGTTTCACTGCTGAATTTTATCAAACATTTAGTGAAGACCTAATACCCATTCTCCTTAAAGTTTTCCAAAAAGTTGAAGAGGAGGGAATACTCCCAAACTCATTCTACGAGGCCAGCATCACTCTACTACCAAAACCAGGCAAAGACACAACAAAAAAAGAAAATTACAGACCAATATTCCCCAACATCACTCCAGGGGCAGAATAGCTCAAGAGACTAGAGCATCTGGGCACTAGAGGGCGCCACATACAAATATGAAACGTTAGAGGAAACTGGTTCAAACAAAAATCTCACAAACACCAGAAATAGGACAAATGGAACTAAATTCACCAATCTTCCTGAAAGAGAGTTAAAAATAAAAATCATAAATATGCTCATGGAGTACAGAAAAATATTCAAGAACTCAGGGATGAATTTAGGATGGAGAGTCAATCATTAAGAAATTCCACATCTTAAATGAAACACACAATGGAGGGATTTAAAAGCAGATCAGATGTAGTAGAAGAGACAGTAAATGGAATAGAAATTAGAGAAGAGGAATACAAAGAAGCTTAAGCACAGAGAGAAAAAGGATCTCAAAGAATGAAAGAATATTGAGAGAACAGTGTGACCAATCCAAATGGAAAAACATTCACATTATAGGGGTACCAGAAGAAGAAGAGAGAGGAAAGGGGGTATAAAGTGTCTTTGAGGAGGTAATTGCTGAAAAGTTCCCCAATCTGGGGAGGAGATAGTCTCTCAGGCCATGGAGGTGCACAGATCTCCCAACCCAAGGGACCCAAGGAAACAACACCAAGACATATAATAATTAAAATGGCAAAGATCAAGGATAAGGACAGACTATTAAAAGCAGCTATAGAGAGAAAAAAGATCACATACAAAGGAAAACCAAACAGGCTATCATCAGACTTCTCAACAGAAACCTTACAGTCCAGAAGGGATTGGCATGATAAGTTAATGCAATGAAGCAGAAGGGCCTTGAACCAAGGATACACTACCCAGCAAGATTATCATTTAAATTTGAAGGAAGGATTAAACAATTTTAAGATAAGCAAAAGCTGAGAAAATTTACCTCTCACAAACCACCTCTACAGTACATTTTGGAGGAACTGCTATAATAGAAGTATTCCTAAGACTAAATAGCTGCCACCAGGGGAAATAAAACTACAGTAAAGAAAGTAGAACTATTAATTACTAAGCAGATGCAAAATCAAAACAATTACCTCCAAAGTCAATCAAGGAATAGATGAAGTACAGAATATGATACCTAAGATATAAAGAATGGAGGAGGAAGAAAAGAAAGGAAAAAAAANAAAGTTTTCCAAAAAGTTGAAGAGGAGGGAATACTCCCAAACTCATTCTACGAGGCCAGCATCACTCTACTACCAAAACCAGGCAAAGACACAACAAAAAAAGAAAATTACAGACCAATATTACTGATGAACATAGATGCAAAAATACTCAACACAAGATTAGCAAACCAAATTAAAAAATACATCACGAGGATCATACACCATGATCAAGTGGTATTCATCCCAGGGATGCAAGGATGATGCAACATTCAAAAATCCATCAACATCATCCACCACATCAACAAAAAAAATGACAAAAAAGTACGATTATCTCCATAGATGCTGAAAAAGCATTTGATAAAATTCAACATCCATTCATGATTAAAACTCTCAACAAATGGGCATAGAGGGCAAGTACCTCAACATAATCAAGGTGATATACAACAAACCCACAGCCAACATCATACTTAACAGCAAGAAGGTGAAAGCTTTTCCTCTAAGATCAGGAACAAGACAAAGATGCCCACTCTCCCCACTTTTATTCACCATACTACTGGATGTCCTTGCCACGGCAATCAGACAAAAGTAAGTAAAGAAGGTGTCCAGATTGGCAAGGAAGAAGTTAAACTGTCCCTGTTTGCAGATGACATGATATTGTACATAAAAAAACCTAAAGAATCCACTCCAAAACTACTAGATCGAATATATGAATTCAGAAAAGTTGCAGGATACAAAATTAATACACAGAAATCTGTGGCATTCCTATGCACTAATGATGAACTAGCAGAAAAAGAAATCAGGAGAACAATTACATTCACAATTACATCAAAAAGAATAAAATACCTAGGAATAAACCTAACCAAGGTAGTGAAAGACCTATACTGTGAAAACTACAAGACACTCATGAGAGAAATTAAAGATATACCAATAAATGGAAACACATCCCGTGCTAATGCATAGGAACAATGTAAACTAGTTCAACCATTGTGGAATGCAATATGGAGATTCTGTAAAAAAATAAAAATAGAAATAGCATTTGACCTGGGAACTCTACTCCTAGGAATTTACCCAAAGAAAACAAGTTCTCAGATTCAAGAAGACATTTGTACCCCTATGTTTATCACAGCACTATTTACAATAGCCAAGATATGGAAGCAACCTAAGTGTCCATCAGTAGATGAATTGATAAAGAAGAGGTGGCACATATACACAATGGAATATTATTCAGCCAAAAGAAAGAAACAAATCCTACAATTTGCAACAACATGGGTGAAGCTAGATGGTATTATGCTAAGTGAAATAAGTCAGGCAGAGAGAGACAAAAACCAAATGATTTCCCTCATTTGGGAGCATAACAATGAAGCAAAACTGAAGGAACAAAATAGCAGCAGACTCAGAGATTCTAAGAAGGGACTAGTGGTTACCAAAGTGGAGGGGTTGGGGAGGGCGCGTGGAGAAGGAGGGAGATTGTGGTGCATCATGATTGGTGCAAATAGTGTGTGGAGGGTCACAGGGAAGACAGTGTAGCTCAGAGAAGACAAATAATGACTCTGGCATCTTACTACACTGATGGGCAGTGACTGAAATGGGGTATGGGTGGGGACTCAATAATAAAGGCGAATGTAATAACCAGATTGTTTTTCTTGTGAAACTTTCATAAGAGTTTATATCAGTGATACCTTAATAAAAAAATAAAATGCAAAAAAACACATGAGCAGTAATTATATTTCACTGAGTTTTTGCTTTCTGGTATTTTTTTCTGTATTCTCTTTTCTTTTTTATTGGGACTCTTATTTAATTGCAAGCAACATCAAATGCAACACAAAGAAGCTTAATAATAAATAGAATTTTGGCTAATTTAACTGAGTTCTGAGGCAATTTTCAAACACATTTTGATGAGGACACCAACTCTAGTTTTGAGTTTCTCAAATCAGCTCTTTCTTGTGTTAGCTTCCTTTATGGTTTCAGAATGACTGTGGCAACTCAGGCCTCACAAAAACACATGACACAACTTAAAGAGAATTACTTTCCATTGATAAATCATTGCTCTTCACTTTAACTGGAGTAACCCAAACCAAACAGTGTGGTAAGGAAATGCCATGTATTCATTGGCTTAGGCCTTTATTAATTTCAATCCATGATCCAATCACTAGGACAAGAGAAAGGAAATTATGGTGTTCATCAAATTGTTACCCAATGGGAGAAGAGTTGCTTGGGAGACAACAGTACTATAGCTTTGTTTTGAATTCAAACTGATGTGGTTTTCCTTCAAAATATAGTCCTATAAATATTCCTTCTTGTAATGTTGCAGATGCAATGTCCGATGATCTAATTATTTTTCTTCATATATAAGAAATTTTTTATAGGAGATCGGGAATCTTATGGAATTTTGTTCTTTAGTCTCAAAGTCAGAGTAACAGAGTGTATTACCTAATAAAGGAGACAGTAAAACATTTTCAATCTACCAGAATATGGTTAGATTACCATCATAATATTTAACCTTGTTAGGGACTTTTCTTGTTTATTTATGAATCAACAGTTCCCACTATACCATCTGTTTCATAGTAGCTGCTCAATAAATATTTGCTGAATGAATGAAGAATGAATACCAGAGCCCTGTAATATTTAGTCTAAGGACCTTGAGCAACTGTCAAATTTGTCTTCACATCTCCAGAGTCTAGAGTGCTTGGCACTCAACAAATGGTCCTTGAACTAAATTGAGAGAAAACTGTACTGTGGATTTACTTTAAACTCTTGGTTCCCAGTTCCCTAATCTTTAAAATGTAAGGTGTCCCCCTCCCTAACCCTCCAGACCTTGTGAAGGGTTGCATTTTTTTCAAGAGAATCTTAACTGCTTTAACCTCTTGTGACTTAGTTTATATTCACAAGGTGAACTTGAAACCTCAGGTTTCTCCTGTCTTTTCCACATACATGTCCAGTTCTCATGGTGACTTTGCTGATACCGTATTCCTTTTTGATATGTTGAACTGTATTGTGAATCATCTGCACCTTTCTGTGTTGTAATTATTTAAAAATTATATCGATTGCATTTACTAAGCCTGTATTGTGTGCCAGATCCAGAACTGAGGGAATACAGCCATGACTGAGAAAGCCATGTTTCTTGCCTTCCTGGCACATAAAAGTGCTTCCACGTGTTTTTAAGGACCAGACAATAGGGATTCAATTGTAAAACAAAACAAACAATTGCTGCTCCGTATTCCTACGCAGGACAAAATGATTAAGAAAAAGTGGCAGCTGGGCATGTCTTCCCAGTAGAGGGAGGAGAGAAGACTACCAACTACAAAGCGTTTGCTTTTGCTAGTCACAACCGAAGTATGCCTTAAGTTATTTTCTAGTGATTTCAGACTTCCAGACAATTCCCTCTGTATCAACCAAATGAGAAAGGAAAACGTGCATTTCGGTTCTTTAAAAAAGGCAAGACAAGCACACAAAACGTACTGACTTAGAGATCATATGAAATCTGCTGTGACTGAAGCTGTCTTGAAAACTATAATTGACATAGTAAGTGACAATAGACTGGTAATTAACCTGCCCGGGACTGGGCGCCACGTAGCTTCCCCACTTCACCCACCCGCCAGCTACCTGGGCTAATTTGCCCCAAAGGCATTAAAAATATATCAACTTTTCTTTACCTAGACTCTTCCACCACATCCATCCTGGGGCTGCTTCTTTCAGAGTGTGGGCAATCCAGGAAAGCGGTCTAGTCGCCTATCTGTGGCAATAATGACAGTTTAAAAAATGGAGCTACATCTCTAATAACAAAAACCACCGGCTGTGAAAAGTGCAGCTACATCTGCTTCTGCCGCAGTATATCTCTGGAGTACATTTGCCCCTGCAGCACCCGTCACGGCCCAGGGCCTGTTGGAAGCGGCTGCCCTGGGAGCGGATGATGCCTTTGGTCCGGGAGGCTCGGGATGAGCCCCGGCGAGCAGGCGGCCTCGCTGAGCTCGGGGCCGGGGGTCAGCTGGCCGCAGGGCGCGCTCCAGGAGCGCCAGAAGGCGGCCTCGGTCCGAAGCTCCCGGGTTTGTTTGTATTTGTCCGCGTCCTGCCCCCGCCCTGCCCCGCTTCATGCAAAAGGCAAGGGGTTCTGACCCGCCCGACAGAGTTCACGCTTAGGGCCCTTTAGCCGTCGTTCTGTGGACAGAGAAAGCAAGCGCGCGAGGAGGCGAGAGCACTGAATGAACGCGGCGGGATCGGCGAGAAAATGGTTTTCCGTTTGGCTGCGCGCATCAGCCGCACTGGGGGGCAATGTTCCTTTGGAGAAGGCCGCGCCACATACCACCCCCCATAGCCCGCAGGGGCCGCGCATCTGGGCCGCGGGGTTTGGAAAGGAGGCGCGAGCGCAGGGGGTGGGGGCGTCGCCGTATGGATGGGGGCGTCCTCCAGAGCGGCGGCAGGGAAACGCGCCCCCGCTACCCGCGCGGAGGGCACAGGCGCCCCAGAGGCCCCTTGCGGGCGTCGCGGCTGCCGCGGGCCGAAAGGCGGGGCGGGGGGCGGGGGCGCGGGGGTCCCCGCCGAGGAGGTTCTGGGGAAGCGGGAGGGGCAGCACCTGAGGAATCCGCCTCCGGCCGCGGCGGCTGCCGCCTCGCTCCGCCCCGGGGAACTGAGCGCGAGGCGAGCGCGCCTGCCACAGAGACGCCAGCCGCCGGCGGCGCTAGCACCTCGGAGGAGGGCGGCCGCAGCGAGCGGAGAGCAGCGCCGGGACCGGCCTGGGGGTGGGGAGGCGAGCCCCGGCCGAGGCGCGGGCCACCCCCGGTCCTCTGCCCTCGAGCCCCGCCAGGGCCAGGTGAGCGACTGCGGAGGTCCGGGGCGCGGGCGCCGCGAGGCGGGGAGGAGAGAGGTCGCGAGCCGGGCGCGAGCAGCACTGCCCTTTGGCGGGCTGGGGACGCGGTGCCTGCCTGCGCTGCGGGGCGCTGCGGCTGACTTCTGGAAGATTCGGAAGGTGGAGCGGGGCCGTGGGCGCTGGGTGTGTGTGCGTGGCGAGGACACGCACGGGTGCCGGCCCGCGGTCGGAACCCATTCTCCCTGCCACCTCGCGTCAGCCCCCTGAGGGGACCGGCCCGTGCGGACCGCGCCCGGAGGCCAGAGGCCTGTCACCGCGGGCTCTCCTCGCTGCCTTTGTGGCGGGAGCGAGAAAGCCCGGGCGTGGGATGGGGGCGGCCGCGGCGCGGCGAGAGCGCCCAGGCGGCTGCGGTGGCAGGGGCGCGGCCGGCACCCGGGTCCCCGAGCCCGAGGGGTTGTGAGGGGGCCTCCGGCGCGCGTGGGGCCGCGAGGTGCGGAGGTGACCGGAGAGGATGGGGCGAGCTCAGCTTGGGGAAGCGCGAGAGGCCGGCGGTGGCTGCGCGTTGGCTCGGTGTCCACGGGTGTCTGTTCTCCGTACCAAATGTCACTTCATCGCGCGCGGGCGCCTTCCGGCCCGCACTTCCATTTTTCTGCGAGTGGCTGAGGACCGCTCAATCTGAGTGAGACACAAAGGGTTGGGTTGACAGTTCACCCTGACACGACTGGACAGCGAGGCGAGGCGTGTGCCCTGGCCGGCTGAGGGTGATGGTGAGGCGGTTTGTTCCTTCGTCTCTCCTCCGAGCTCCGTTAAAAGAAATAAAATGTATGGGTTCATTTCGTACGGATTCTCAGTTAAACCCAAGGAAGGTCCAGAACACGATTCATCTGCTTTCTTCAACCGGGCTGGTGGATCCTGGAGGAATTCTTCAATTGTGCAGCTTTCCTCGGTGAACGTGACTGTTACAAGGTCCTTACCCACCCCTCCCGGCCCTCCGTCCCCTGTCGAGCAGATAGGAACCAAATTTTATTTTCTTCTTTTCACACCTTTAAAGCCGTCCCCTCCCCCACACTGGGATATCCCACTGAAATATCATTTTAAAAACCTAGCGATTTAAATATGGGGCAGAGCTTGTCAGCAAAAGGTTTTTGAATTAAATTCCCCCTTAAAATCCTCTCATCCCCCTGTACATTTTCTTGTACTTTAAATCCTGGAATTCTGTTTTGAGTTTTGTGACTGTTGGTTTTTTTCTTTCTGAAAATTTCCGTGTGGTTTTACAAATTGCAATACTGAAATCTTACTCAAAAGAGAACAAAAATTTTAAATGATTATAAAAAATATGTAGTAATGGAATTACATGCATATAGGCATGTGTTTAAAGGGATATTTTTAATTAATGAATATTGAAAAGTAATACGCATGGGGTAAAAATTTAAAACAGTGTAAAGTAAGCTCTCTTTCCCACCCCATATTCCCACTGTCTTCTTCCTCAGAGACTATCCCTGTTGTCAATTTCTTTTATATCCTTCCATAAATCTTTTAAAATGCAATTACATTATGGAAGTAAGGGATAAAAAGAATGTAAGACTGAATTATATATCAATGGTATGGCTATTAATTTTCTATCTACTCATGACAACATTAGAATCTTTGGCCTATGACACTACAGTTGAAGATGAGTTAAAGTGCTAAAACTCTTAGAACAAGTATTCTTTGGAAAGCAGAACTATTAAACGATTATCCTTGTCCCTGCCTCCACCATCATCAGTTTCTCTACACTGACTTTAATAACCTTTGTTGAATTTTTTCCTCCAATTTGGAACTCTTTATGAGACAGAGGATTGAGTAGAGGATGGGAACTGTAGTTTACTCTGTCCAGTGCAGTGTATATCTAAAGACATTGTAAAGACATAGGTATACTTCTGTTCACATGATGTATTATAAAAATTTTAATGGTAAGAGAGAAATACGAAGACCAAGTTTGAGACATTTGGTCACATTTCTTAGTTCCAGGCCGGCATTTGCCACAAACTAGCTAAATGAAGTAACTTTCTTAGAAATGCTTTTGTTTCCTTTTAGTTAAAGGAATTGAACAATATGGTATCTAAGGGTCCTTTTAACTCCAAGATTCAATGATCAAAATAATAGTACTGCAGGTGTCCTAAGATCAGCTAAAGGACATCCTAGTTGGACCTGTAGGTATTAGACAGTGAGAGACAAAAACTATTCCTAAATGGTAGATTCATAAAGGGGAAGTTAGAGATGTTTGAACTATATTCCCACTCTTAAGAGATTGATATCATTAGAAAATAACTCCTTGACTTTCCCACAAAATGTCTGTTTATGTTACTGATAGAGGTCAAGCCCTGGGCTGAATGGGGCTCTGTACATCACCTTGTATGGCCAAGGAGAGTGCATTTTCTTCACAGCTCACAGTGCCATTTTTAGGGAAATTACTTTTAACAAACTCTTTTTGGTAAGTGGAAATAAAGTTCACTTACTTCAAAGGGACTTGACATAATTTAGTAATTCTCGAAAGTATTTAAAATATGAATGTTCCTACAGCTAAGATATTTTAGTTCTTTATAAGTATTCACTTAGAGCTCATAATTTTAGCAGGAAACTTTTCTAATCTCTAAAACACCTGCAAACTCTGAACTAATAATTTCTGGATGGGTGCAGGGAGCCAAGGAGAGATTGCAAGGTTATGAAATTAAAAAGAATAAACTGATTTTAGTTACTATATATGATGTCAGCTAAGGGTTTCAAAAGTACACTGTAAGTGGTGATTGAAAAATATCACTGATATTAAGAAACTCTCATACTTTAAAGCCTCAGAATCACTGATAAAGAATAGTAATTATTTTGAATAAATTGTAATATAAACAAACTATAGTAAACTTTTAGGAATTGTTGGACTGGGATGAAAAGAATATGAACTAGAAGAACAGATTTGTAAGGGTGCTTAGAATATTCCTGATTGACTGACAAAACTGACAAAAAAAAGAAAATTAAGTACTAGCAGTGAAATTCTTGTAAAATGGTGATAGTTTTAATTTTTTCCACCTCTCTTCCATGTTTTACTACATGAATATATATTTTTTAAAGGTGTTGCAGATACATTTTTACTTTAATTTTTTTCATAGTTTTTATATACTTATTAACAATATTTTATAGTAGTTTACTCAGTTAATGTACCATACCTTACTTAGCCCTTCCTTTATTCTTGTATTTCCAGTAATTTAAAAAAATATGACTGTCTTCATGAATGTAACTTTATTGTTTTTTAACTTCTTTAGGATTGTTTTCTTAGGCAGTATAATGGAGTTGTACATGGGTAGGCTCTAAAATTAAAGATTCAGGATTCAAAACGTAGTGCCATTAATTATTGGCAATATTGGACAAGTAACTTATTTTCTCAGCACTTCAGCTTCCTAATCTGTAAAATGGGCATAGTAATAGCTCTCCACAAAGTTGTTAAGATGAAAAGCAATAACACGTGAAAACTTACGTGAAAAAAAAAAACCCCTTATTTTTATTAGAACATTCCCAAATTTCTGGTGATTTCCAAATTACTTTCCAAAATGATGTTATGAGTGTATATTGTCACTAACAGTTTGTGTGTGCTTATGTTATTTTAAAAACATTTATGTCATTGTAACTAACTTGATTAGTGTAAAATTGTATCTCTTTGTTTTGATTTGTATTTCTTTGGTGTTGGGCAAAGTGAGGGGGTGGATTTTTCAGCAGCATTGCTATAGTTTTCTACATGTATTGGTGGAAGTTTCATATCCTCAGTCATTTGGAACTACAAAACAGGCATATAAGACAGATCAGTTACAACAGTAAGGAAGAGTGAATCAAATTTTCCAATAGATTTTTTCAAATTAATTGTAATTTTCTTGAATTTTAGTCTGTGGTAGTCTGTATTAATTATTTTAAATCTTATGAAAGTGACTGTTAACGTTAATAAATAATCATGTCAATTCTACTTAAATGAAAATACAGTCCTCTCTTTTTTCCCCTTGAAAGGCTGTTTTATAAATAGCATTATTGTGATCACAACTTGGTGGATTTTTACTAGGAATGATTCTCAAAACCCCGGGGTGGGAGGGTGAATCAGAGAAAGTTTCATGAGTCCTAATCATGGTACCTTTTAGCTACAGATGGATAATGAAGTTATGCCCTCTGACTTGAGTTCTTATACAGTCAAGGTAATTTAGACTACACAAAAGCATGCCCTTGTAAGTTCTGGAGTTCCAGCAGCCCTGATATTTCTGGCAAACACACACCCAACGTGGATAACAGCAGCTCTTTGTGCTCCTGAGCCCCAGGAGGGCTCCCTATTGTGTACTCTTACTTCCCTCTCATTCTTGACTGACTGGTGATAGCAACTCCTCCAAGTCCAGATGTGAAGCTCCCACAGTGATTCTTCTCCCCAACTCTGTATTTACCCCTACCAACTACCCCTTCAGTGTGTTTGCTTTTGTCCTGTCTATGATATAGAAAATAAACTATCTTTTCAAGGCTGTGGTTTCAGATTTTCTTTTTAATTTTCTCTGTGCTGTATGCGTGTCTTCAACAGTCCTTACAGTAGACATGATAGGCATGATTAGCATAGATTAACACATAATCAGCACTTGATAAATGTTTGTTGCTGTGAAACTGTATCTTATGTGGTCTTTTCTATTCCTGGGCATGGCTCTATTTTTATGGTACCACTCTGGAGAAGCAAGCTCCAGCTGTGTCCTGGATTGCTGTGTTTGCCTATATTACCCAGTTTAGGGGTTAAGAAACCAATGTGTTTTG